AGGCATTGGGATCTCAACCCAGAATTCCAATGGGCGGCGGAGACTGCGGGAACTGTGGGATAGCTACCCATAGTGCAATGCTCTGGAAGTCGACGCTAGCCTCGGTACTGTGGACGCGGTCCACCGACTAGAGCACTTAGAGCATTTTATGTGGGGACACACACAATCGGCTGTATACAACCGATTTCTATAAAACCGGCTTCTATAAATTCGACCTAATTTCGTAGTGTAGACATACCCTGAGGCCTGGTCTACACTAGGAAATTAGGTCAGTATTACTATATCACTCAGGGGTGTGAAAAATCCACACCCCTGAGCAATGCTGGAGATAGCATTGGGAAAAATTCTCCTGTCAACCTAGCTACAGCCTCTCGGGTAGGTGGAGTACCTACGCTGAGGGGAGAAGCCCTCCTGTCAGCATAGGTAGCATTGTCACTGTGCCGCCATAGCAGTTTATGTGTAGACAAGTCCTAACAGAAAAACTCCTGTTGGTGTACACTGCTTCTACACTGGAGGATATGCTGCCACAGCTATGCCAGAACAGGCTCGATAATGTAGACAGAGCCATATACTCATTTAGGCTCACTCAATTTTAGTGAAATTCTGGTCTGTTTACACCTCTTGCAAACACATTTACTACAATGGGATTGCATAGGAAATAGGTCAGAACAGAATTTGGCCCTTAAAGTCCTACCCACTTGCCAACATAAAAGTTACTTCCCCTTCCCCACCCGACACCTCTCTTGTCTGCATGAGGACATGCAGGAACATTAATCCAAATTAACTAAAGATGGGAATTTAAACTGGATTGGTTAAACTGCATTAAACCCCTGTGTGGACACTTACACTCAGAATTGAAGTGGCCTTAAGTTGGTTTATTTTGCTTTGTTTCCACATAGGAGTTTACTGCGGTTTAATTAGTCCACTTTAAAAAATAATTTGGTTTAACTTTCCTGAGTGCTCCCAAGTAGACCAGCTTAATTGGGTGTAAGGAAGTCCAAATGTGTCCAAGCTGGTGTAACCACACACCAAGAGGCCAGAAGGGAGCAAAAGAAGCAACTCCTGGACCTAAAGCCTGGTCTATGTGAGAACAGTTACCACCCAAGATGACCTAGAGTCTGAACACAGTTTAACAGTCAGTGTGGGCCAGGACAAATCACGTACATCTTCATGTCAGCTAATTGTGGCCAGACTCTGAGATTTGCTGACATGATTTGTCCTGATACATAGTGTGCCCCTGAATTATCTAATATGATTATTGACAACTGTATTCAAATGTGTCAACAGTTCATAGAAGGGACCAGACCTTACATGCTTTTCTCTCTTCCTTTCTGGCCCCTTAGTATGTGCTTACATCAATTTAGATTCATTTTAGAGCAGGCTTCACAAGTAGATGTAGGAAGGTTCAAGTTAAAGTAGGCTGTACACTATTTAAATTTACACCATCATCCTGCTGCTTGGCCTATAGGTTATACCATCTTGAACTCCCTTCCACTTACATTCTCATCAGTAAAAGGCTGCAAGGAGGATTAACGGTATGTCTACACTTGCCGGTAGATCGGCACTGCTGCAATCAATGCAGCGAGTGTCGATTTAGCAGGTCTGGTGAAGACATGCTAAATCAATGGGAGAGCACTCTCCCATCTATTTGTGTACTCCACCTCCCTGAGAAAGCGTAAGGGATGTTTGCGTACGTTAGATTGATTTACTGCGGTAGTGTAGACCAGCCCTAAGGTACTAATTGTACAGAAGTTTGCATTATTGCATAGGCATCTAACTTGTGTGTAACCTTTTATATCGCCTCTGAAACTGAGCCAGTGAATCCAAAACCAAAACCAAATTCAAACCTAGTTTTGGTTTTACAAAAACATGCCCCGCCCAATGATGTTCTGCAAAAACAGAAACATATCCAATGCTGACAATTTCAGATTCCCAAGTGATTGTGCTAGGGAGACATTTGCTTTACTCTCACATAGACAGAGGCAAAGAGGGAGGCGTCACTCATGTACAGTGCCTTCATCCTAAAGTCAGCAGTGAGATACCTTTTTGCTGGCTATACTCTGATTATACATTGGGTGACTTGACTCATCTTTAGCCAATTGGTTAACAGTCTCCTGGTCAGCCTCAAATGGGGGGTGGGAGTAAAACAGAATTGGATGCTTTTTTCTCTATATATCCAGGATCATAAAGGTGTCTAGTAGAATACATAGACAGCAACCCATAGCAGAAAAGCATGGCACTACATTCCAGAACTGAAGGTACAGATACAATTCCCTTCTGAGCCTACAGAAGAAACCCTTTATACATGAGCATCACTTCTGTTTTGTCTGGACTTACTTTCAGACAGCTCCTTGCATCCAGGTCCAAACCTCTGTTAGGCACAGAGAAAGCACCAAAACAACAGAATCCATTATTCAGTAAAACTAAATTAGCATTAGGTTCAACATCTGCAGGGTCTCGTGTAATTATAGGCCTACATAAATTGCTCCTTAGTTGCCCTTCTTTCTGAAATTGCCACATAATTGTGCTCCAGAATTTAATATTTAATGTAACAAAATGATTCTAGTCCTTATGGTGGCAAATAAAACCTATTAAAATGTGAATGATGTCTGCCTGAGTCTGCAGACAGCCTGAAACAAGAACTCTAAGGATAGGAAGTGCCCCTTTCATCTCAGTGGAGTGTTAAATCTGAAGCCTAATGATCCTAATTTAAATGTTAGCATTGACCATTTCACTGCTGATCATTTTAGAAAAAGCAATAAGCTAATGTGCTTCGCCACCATGGTTGGTGTGATGACAGAGCGTGAGGCAAGGTGCAGTGGGACAGGTACTTGCTGTCAAATGTTGCTAGGTGCAAAAAGAAGAGAACCTTTCGCTGCTTTTTGTTTCTCTCATGGAGCAAAGCAGTCAGAAAGCAAGCTTCCCCAGATACTTGGGAATTCTTCTGGCATAAGAGAAATATTGGGTGGCAGAGAACTAGCTACACTCATCCTGATTCCTGGCACAAGAGGAGGTATTCTGGGGAAAGGTACACAGTCAGGGCACCTGTCCACTCTGGTTTCCTTTGGCTGTTGGTTGGAATGGCCCCTTGGGGTTGTAGGCAGCCAGAAGTAGATTAGAGCAACATTTGGGTCTTTTTGTTTTGTTTTGTTTTGTTTTGTTTTGTTTTTTTACTCCAGGGACTGGAGCATTCCCAGCCAGTACCCAGATCCAGGGCCATAAAGCTCCCCTGTGTCTCCACAGGTCCTGCACTGAGCACAGCTGTGACAGACCAGAGGCTCTGGCTCAATGCTTTCATAACAAATTATCTATTTTACTAGTTCACTGTCTGTGGCTCAATTATAGGAAAAATACAACACACCCTCTAGAGGTGCAGCTAGCAATTCCCAGAGCCTCCCTCCTCTCACATCCTGCATCATCTTCCCGTTTTCTCAGGTCCTCCAGTGCCAAACACTTATTTTTAAAAGCAATAGCAATAATTACCCTAATATTGGAGCTTTAGTGGACTCTCTAGATATGGCTTGAGGGATGTTGTGAGGAAACCTCCCATGTGATTGCTTCCTGTAGTGTGTCTGTCCGGTGGCTTAAAAGAAGACTAACGTTACCTGAGCTGTCAGCCTAACCTCTTTCTGAAGCATTACATTCCATTTTAAAGAAAAAAGAGAAACATCTCCCTTTTTCATTGAACAGGGAGTGAGGGTTAGATGCAATTGTGGAAGAAGAGATGATGCCACATTCTCTTCCGAATTAAAGCATGGAAGCCCAAATAAAGTAAAACAAAGAGTGGGATCAGAGAAGGCAATGCTCATGAAAGCCAAAATTATCAAACTTGTGTGTCTGTAGGCACATACATCCATAAAGAGTGATCTGAAAAGTGCCCAGATTTGATGCTGAGATGCTGAGCAACTGCAGCTCCAAGTAATTTCATCGATCTCAGTAACTAAATTTGGTCATTCAAATTTGACAATTTGGGGCGAAATCTCTAGGTTTGATGCCATATAGGGGCATGGGATTGACAGAGTTCCTTCAAGACCCAACATTTTCTGAAACAGTCATAAAAAGGGGCAACAGGGAAGTAACATCAATCTGTACTATGCCACCCACAATGAATCTGACTGCCACAGGGAGGAGCATGTGATGTGGGGGGCACAGCACCCTATGACAATGCTTGAAAATTCCACTATGGACTCCCATCCTTTTTGCATGGGAGCTTCCAGAGGAGAGAAAAAGTCCTCTAGGGAAGGTGCTAGGAGTTAAATCATCAGCCCAGAGACAAGAAGTGCCAATCTGAGAGTATGTCTATACTTGACACCAGGGCCCCCCCCCTTTTTTTTGGCTTTTACACATGTTTGCACTTTGCAATGTTTTTTGTTTTTTGTTTTGGCTCCCCAGGGATTCCACTCGCCCCCCAACCCAAGCAAACAGGAGCCCCCCTTGTTCCCTTTTTGTCTCTCTTCAAGCTTCGCTCTGTGCTGGGAGGCAGGGGTGGGGGTACTCTGGAAGGGGGGGGCAGAAGTGATGTGCCTGGGTCAGGGGCTGGGATTCTGGACTGGGGTGTGCCTGGGGTGGAGGTCAGGACCCTGGCCTGGGACAGCCTGGCCCCCGGCGGGCTGGGCTGGCAGAGTGGCAGCCAGGGGTGGGTCTCCGGGTGTGCCACAGGGGGCAGTGGCAGGAGCCCCCTTTATAGGCGGCGGGGCACAGTGCGGGGCCATGGAGGACGCAGCCGCAGACCTGCTGGGCAATGAGCCCTACTATTACTACGGGGAGGTGAACAAGAGCGGGCCAGGCGCTCAGTGTGAGTGACCGGCAGACTGGGAGGTGTCCTTCTTGCTGCTGCCTGTGCTCTACAAACTGGTCTTCGTGCTGGGGCTGTCGGGAAACAGGCTGGTGATCTTCACCGTGTGGTGGGGCCCGCGGGCCAAGCACCTCTCCACCGACACCTACATTGGCAACCTGGCGCTGGCCGACCGGGGCTTCGTGGTGACCCTGCCGCTGTGGGCTGCCTACAGGGCGCTGCACTTCCACTGGCCCTTCGGCTCGGCGCTGTGCAAGCTCAGCAGCTACTTGGTGCTGCTCAACATGTTTGCCTCCACCTTCTGCCTGGGCTGCCTCAGCTTCGAGCGCTCCCTAGCCATCGTGCGCTTGCTGCCATGCTCCCGGCCCATGTGTCCCCGCGCCGCTCTCGCTGGCCGCGCTCTGGCTGCTGGCCCTGCTGCTGCTCAACACGCAGCCCAGCCCGGCTGACAACCAGAATGCCGCCTCTGGAAATGTGCCGCCCCAAGCACGTGTTTGCTTTACTTGTGCCAAGAGCCAGTCCTGCTTGACACTGGCGATGTGATTCTCAGCTCATGCATCCGACGAAGTGGGCATTCACCCACGAAAGCTTATGCTCCAATACATCTGTTAGTCTTAAAGGTGCCACAGGACTCTCTGTTGCTTTTTACAGATCCAGACTAACATGGCTACCCCTCTGATACTGGAGTAGCAAAGGCAGTGGCACAGGCTAGCTATAGCTTAACTCAAGGGATTCAAGCGGGTTTGTACTCAGGGCAGACAGCCTGAGACACTGCTTGCTACTGCCCATGCTACACTATTATTTTTAGTGTGCTAGCTCAATGACAGCTAGCACGAGTATGTCTATGCCAGCTGGGAATCTGACCCCTAGCTCTTAGTGTAGGCATAACCTTAGAAAGATGAAGGTATCACTTTCCACTGAGCTAGGTGTTTACCAGGGAGGGTGTGATGGGGTATGCTCCCCACACTGGCCCTGCAAGAGTTGAGTTGGGCCACGTGGGCTGAATATCTAATTAGGCTGCAAAGGGGGGGGGGGGAGCTTGAGGCTGCAGGCAGCTAATTAGATAGAAGCTCACCTGTGGGTGATGGGCGGGGTTTCTACAAAAGACAGGACATTGAAAGTTGAGGGGCCTGCCGAGATGAGTTGCCTAAACTTGCTCCCTGGGAGGAGGGAATGAAGAGATTGGCAAACCCAGAGGAGTGAGGAGGGCCAGGAACATTGCTTAATTTGTGCACCTCTAGGCTTGTCAGTTCATAGCCCCAGCACCTCTGGGCTTGCTGCATCAGTTATGAATGTAAAAAAATTTCTTGAGCTCTGGCACCTGTTTAATTACAAACTAAGGAGGCATGGCAGCAGCTCAGGAGAAGGCAGCAAGGTGCAAGGAATGGAGCATTAGAGCATCTCTGTGTAGAGGGTCCCTGAGCCAGAACCCGGAGTAGAGGGTGGGCCTGGGTTCCCTTGCCAGCCTCTGTGGGAATGGCAGTGAAGCAGAAGACTGCCGGAGGCTGCTGGAAAGCAGGAACCTTGATGCTCCCCTCTGGAAGGGGAAACCACAACAGTGACCTGGCCAGAGGGCTGAGTCACGAAGAGGTAGCAGCAGCTCATGGAGCAAGAGAGGGGCTGCAGACTGGCAGAGAGAGACAGAGTGATGGTATGCAACCATGGGATGGTGTGTTGAGCTGGCAAGCTATTCCCCAGAGTGACCAGGAGGAGGTGCCATCCTAACAGTGAAAAGAGCATGGTGAAAAGAGGGAAAGTGTGTATAAATAACACAATTTATTTAAAACACAAACAAACCTTCATTTCTGGCTCAGTGACTAACCTGATTGACCAAGGGTATGTCTACACTCCGAAATTAAGTTGAATTTATAGAAGTCGATTTTTTAGAAATTGTTTTTATACAGTCGATTGTGTGTGTCCCCACACAAAAAGCTCTAAGTGCATTAAGTCAGCAGACTGAGTCCACAGTACCGAGGCTAGTGTCGACTTCCGGAGCGTTGAACTGTGGGTAGCTGTGGGTAGCTATCCCACAGTTCCCGCAGTCTCCGCCGCCCATTGGAATTCTGGGTTGAGATCCCAATGCCTGATGGGGCAAAAACAGTATTGTGGGTGGTTCTGGGTACATGTCGTCAGCCCCCCCCCCTCCGTGAAAGCAACGGCAGACAATCATTTCGCGCCTTTTTTCCTGGGTTACCTGTGCAGACACCATACCACAGCAAGCATGGAGCCCGCTCAGCTCACCGTCACCGTACATCTCCTGGGTGCTGGCAGACATGGGACTGCATTGCTATACAGCAGCAACTCATTGCCTTTTGGCAGCAGACGGTGCATTACGACTGGTATCCGTCGTCGTAGTACTCCTGGGTGCTCTTTTAGCCAACCTCGGTGAGGTCGGTCAGGGGCACCTGGGCAGACATGGGAGTGACTCATCCAGATCATTCCCATCTTCTGCAAAGCACCCAGGAGATGACGATGGCTAGCAGTTGTAATGCAGCATCTTCTGCCGAGCACCCAGGAGATGATGATGGCTAGCAGTTATACTGCACCGTCTGCTGCCAGCCTAAGATGTAAAAGATAGATGGAGTGGATCAAAACAAGAAATAGACCCGATTTGTTTTGTATTCATTTGCTCCCCCCTCCATCCCTCCCTCCCTCCATGAAATCAATGTCCTGCTAAACCCAGGGTTTTGAGTTCAATCCTTGAGGGGGCCATTCTGTGTGACAGTTGTTTGTGTTTCTCCTTGATGCAAAGCCACCCCCTTTGTTGATTTTAATTCCCTGTAAGCCATGTCGTCAGTTGCCCCTCCCTCCATCAGAGCAATGGCAGACAATCGTTTCGCGCCTTTTTTCAGCGCAGACGCCATAGGACTGGGATCATGGAGCCCGCTCAGATCACCGCGACAATTATGAGCACTGTAAACACCACGCGCATTATGCTGCAGTATATGCAGAACCAGAACCTGCAAAAGCGAAACCAGGCGAGGAGACGACGGCAGCACGGTGATGAGAGTGATGAGGACATAGACATGAACATAGACTTCTCACAAAGTACAGGCCCCGGCAATGTGCAAATCATGGTGTTAATGGGGCAGGTTCATGCCGTGGAACGCCGATTCTGGGCCCGGGAAACAAGCACAGACTGGTGGGACCGCATAGTGTTGCAGGTCTAGGACGATTCCCAGTGGCTGTGAAACTTTCGCATGCGTAAGGGCACTTTCATGGAACTTTGTGACTTGCTTTCCCCTGCCCTGAAGCACCAGAATAACAAGATGAGAACAGCCCTCACAGCTGAGAAGCGAGTGGCGATAGCCCTGTGGAAGCTTGCAACGCCAGACAGCTACCCGTCAGTCGGGCATCAATTTGGAGTGGGCAAATATACTGTGGGGGCTGCTGTGATCCAAGTAGCCAACGCAATCGAAGAGCTGCCGATATCAAGGGTAGTGACTCTGGGAAATGTGCAGGTCATAGCGGATGGCTTTGCTGCAATGGGATTCCCTAACTGTGGTGGGGCGACAGACGGAACCCATATCCCTATCTTGGCACCGGAGCACCAAGCCAGCGAGTGCATAAACCGAAAGGAATACTTTTCAATGGTGCTGCAAGCCCTAGTGGATCACAAGGGACGTTTCACCAACATCAACGTGGGATGGCCGGGAAAGGTACATGACGCTCGCATCTTCAGGAACTCTGGTTTGTTTCAAAAGCTGCAGGAAGGGACCTTCTTCCCAGACCAGAAAATAACTGTTGGGGATGTTGAAATGCCTATAGTTATCCTTGGGGACCCAGCCTACCCCTTAATGCCATGGCTCATGAAGCCATACACAGGCAGCCTGGACAGTAGTCAGGAGCTGTTCAACTATAGGCTGAGCAAGTGCAGAATGGTGGTAGAATGTGCATTTGGACATTTAAAAGCACGCTGGTGCAGTTTACTGACTCGGATAGACCTCAGCGAAACCAAGAGAGTAAGGGGGAGACGTTTATGGCGGGGTGGGAGGTTGAGGCAAATCGCCTGGCCACTGATTACGCACAGCCAGACACCAGGGCGGTTAGAAGAGTATAGGAGGGTGTGGTGCGCATCAGAGAAGCTTTGAAAACCAGTTTCATGACTGGCCAGGCTACGGTGTGAAAGTTGTTTGTTTCTCCTTGATGAACACACACACACCCCTTGGTTCACTCTACTTTCCTGTAAGCTAACCACCCTCCCCTCCCCCCTTCGATCACTGCTTGCAGAGGCAATAAAGTCATTTTTGCTTCACATTCATGCATTCTTTATTAATTCATCCCACAAATAGGGGGATAACTGCCAAGGTAGCCCAGGAGGGGTGGGGGAGGAGGGAAGGACAAGGGCACACTGCACTTTAAAATTTTAAAACTTAAAATCTTTAAAACTTATTGAATGCCAGCCTTCTGTTGCTTGGACAATCCTCTGGGGTGGAGTGACTGGGTGGCCGGAGGCCCCCCCACCGCGTTCTTGGGCGTTTGGGTGAGGAGGCTATGGAACTTGGGGAGGAAGGCGGTTGGTTACACAGGGGCTGTAGCGGCGGTCTGTGCTCCTGCTGCCTTTCCTGCAGCTCAACCATATGCTGGAGCATATGAGTTTGATGCTCCAGCAGCTTGAGCATTGACTCCTGCCTTCTGTCAGCAAACTGATGCCACCTATCATCTTCAGCCCGCCACTTACTCTCTTCAGCCCGCCACCTCTCCTCACGTTCATATTGTGCTTTCCTGCACTCTGACATTGTCTGCCTCCACGCATTCTGCTGTGCTGTCAGTGTGGGAGGACAGCATGAGCTCAGAGAACATTTAATCCCGAGTGCATTTTTTTCGCCTTCTAATCTTCGCTAGCCTCTGGGAAGGAGAAACATATGCAGCTGGTGGAGGAAAAAAAAGGGAGAGTGGTAATTAAAAAGACACATTTTATAGGACAATAGGTACACTCTTTCACGATAAACCTTGCTGTTAACATTACATAGCACATGTGTTTTCGTTACAAGGTCGCATTTTGATGGCTTCACCCCTCCCCCCACTGAGTGGCTAACAGCGGGGAACATTTCTGTTCAGCCACAGGCAAACAGCCCAGCAGGAACGGGCACCTCTAAATGTCTGCTTAATAAAACCACCCTATTTCAACCAGGTGACCATGAATGATATCAGTCTCCTAAGGATAACACAGAGAGATAAAGAACGGATGTTGTTTGAATGCCAGCAAACACCAGGACCATACACTGCAGTGCTTTGTTCTGCAATGATTCCCAACTACGTGCTGCTGGCCTGGCGTGGTAAAGTGTCCTACCGTGGAGGACGGAATAAGGTTGCCCTCCCCAGAAACCTTTTACAAAGGCTTTGGGAGTACATCCAGG